TGGGTCAACCAACAGGCATCAGCGCGCGACTGATGACTGTCTCCCTACGACTCGGAAGAGGTAAGTTTGCCACTTTTATAAGCATGTACGGTTCGACTATTTGTTATCCTGATGACACGCGTGATCAATTCTACACTCAGCTATCCTTCGCGATACCGTCTGTGCCGAGGAGCGACCGACTATTTCTGCTGGGTGATTTCAACGTGCGCGTTGGGCGTGATGCATCGGTGTGGGCAGATGTTATCGGTTCAGCGAATGCGAACGGTGACAGGCTGCTCTCACTGTGTGCCACTCACTGTCTGACGATCACGAACACTCGGTTTGCACTGAGTGCGAGTGATATAGCAACTTGGACACACCCACGGAGTGGTCACGCTCACCTGCTCGACTATGTCATCGTACGTCAGCGTGATATGCGTGAAGTGAGCGTGACATGCGCACTGCGTGGAGCTGTGTGTAGCACTGTTCACAAATTGGTGCTCACCAAACTGTACATATATTTTTGTAGCTCTGTGTATTGCACTCCCGCCGTGAATCGGCGTACATTTAACATTCTATCCTTCGGTACAGTGGAGAGACGTACTGAGCAGCAGAAGGTGATGGCTGTACGCCTGTGTGATGTGGACTGCATAGCCACAGTGGGCGACCTGTGGCACCACATTCGCGACTAGGTGACAGCTGCAGCCGAGGAGACCATCGGGCGCGCAAACTGTAAGCGGCCTGATTGGTTTGATGAGAACAATGCGACGATTGGCGCATTGGTGTCGGAGAAGAATGCAGCATTTGCTGCACATGTCGCAGACCCCAGTGACTTGAGGAAGAAGCGAGAGTTTCGCAAACTCCGACGGCAACTGAGTCCGGAGCTCCGTCGCATAAAAATGCATGGTGGACGGAGAAGGCGAAGCAGAAGGAATGCTGCGCCGAAGGCCGCTAACACAAGGAATTCTTTGACTCCTTGAAGGCGGTGTATGGACCGAGATTAGAGTTGCTGAGGACGCTGATCGATGGTAGCTCAGGCGCTACCTGCACATAGACTGCAGACATAATGCAGATCTGGCGGAAACACTTGACTGTCTCCTGAACAACCGTTCAGAGATTGACAAGCCTACATTGAACGGCGTCGAGCAGCACCATGTGAAGGCGAGTCTGGCAGACACGCCAACACTGGATGAGACGCAGAGAACACATATTCAGCCTCGAAACGGCAAGTGTGCTGGGGCCGACGGGATCCCGCCTGAAGTATTGAAACACGGCGGACCCGCGTTGTTGACTGCGCTGTACCACTTAGTGCAACGTGCATGGATTGGGGAGGAGGTACCTGCTGAGCTGAAGCATGTCCTTGTGCTATCACTGTACAAGGGCAAAGAGCGCAAGCAATGTTGCACGAATTATCGTGGCATCAACTTGCTGAGTTGTGTGGGCAAGGTGATTGCCCGAATCCTGCTCAACCGCCTCGGCAGTCAGGTTGTGAAACCGAACGTGGCTAAAGAACAGTGTGGATTCCGTTCTGGTCGCAGCACTATAGGTATTGTGTTTGCGGCTCGTCAATTGCAGGAGAAGTGCAGAGAATGGCACCAGCCGTTGTACTCGCTTTTTGTTGATTTCACCAAGGCATTTGATACGGTGAACCGCGATGCATTGTGGCTGGTGTTGGGTAAGTTCGGTTGCCCGAGTAAGTTTGTAAGTTTAATTGAATGTCTGCACAGTGATATGTGAGCGAGGGTGCAGCTGAGTGGAGAGACTTCGGATGACCTTACAGTTGTCTCTGGTGTGAAACAAGGCTGTGTCTTAGCTCCTGCCCTGTTTAATATATATGTTCATGCAATGTTGTCTTGTGCTTTTGATGCGGCTTGTGCTTACAGTGTTCGTGTGGAGCACCGTATTGATGGTGGATTGCTGAACATCCGTCGTTTCGGTGCGAGACCTCTAGCCTGTGAGACAACTATCCGAATGTTGCTGTTTGCTGACGACTGTGCGTTGTTTGCACACAGCGCGCATGAGTTGCAGAATATGACTAGTGCTCTGGCTTCGACAGCGGCCAAATTCGGGCTCACCAACACAAGCAAAACTGTGTGTCTCTTTCAGCCTTCACCGGAGGTTCAATCTTCAATATTGCCGCGAATCAGCATTGGTGCTGAAGTATTGGAAACCACCTCCCGCTTTTGCTACCTTGGGAGTGTGATGTCGACTGATCTGCAGATACACAGTGAGCTGCGTATCCGCGTCTCGAAGGCAGCGGCGGCATTCGAGAAGCTAGAGTACCGAGTGTGGAACAACCATCAACTCACCATTGGCATGAAGCTGATGGTGTACAAATCCATGGTGCTGTCTGTTCTTCTATACGGCAGTGAAACGTGGATGATGTACCGGCGGAATGTGCGATATCTCGACTGGTTCCATCAACAGTGTTTGCGACGGATTTTGCGCATCACTTGGGGCGACAGAGTTGCTGACACAGAAGTGTTGCGACAAAGTGAGATGTATGCAGTTGACTGCATACTTTTGCTGAGACACCTGAGGTGGCTCGGTCATGTGAGCCGTATGGATTCGACGCGGATACCGAAACAACTCTTATATGATCAGCTGAGTTTAGGGAAGCGGCATGTGGGGAAATCAAAGTTACGTTACCAGGACATGATCAAAGTGAGGCTCTCACGTTCTAATCTTGATTGCAGATCATGGGAATCAAAGGTGGTTGATCGGCGTACATGGCGCGATCTAATCACGAAGGCAGTTGCCGAAGTGCGGGAGAAAGACCTCATACTGGCAAACGGCAAGCACCGATGGGTTGTACTCCATCGACATCGAGCGCATGGTGCTGTAGCACATGCGGTCGCGAGTGCCTGAGTCAGGCAAGCCTAATGAGCCATGAGCGAGGCCACTCGTGACCACCACCGAAGCGACGGCGGGTCCTGTAGAGAACGTAGGCAGAACCGGCGCAGCGTTTGTAGGTACGCTGCATTCGATTTACTAACAGCGTGCTTGCATGCTGTCTCTTTATTTTAGGTTTTGGGTTTGCAATTTGGTCCTAACGTTTTTCTTTCTCATATAAATGCCCACCAGTACACTTTTTATTTAAACTTGCACACGTCGCTGAAGCTAATTGTAGTTAATTTCGATAACATTTTCGCGTTCGTGGCGTTTTCTTAAAATATATCTTCTTACCTCTTGAACTTATCGCGGATTTGTTCGTATCCAATTTATTTTATACGCTCATTTAGTGAGGAGTTATGCCGCCGTATCTGTATGCATTATCTGATTTGTTCTATCTCATCTTGTCGTTTCAAGTGATTGGCTGTTGCTTGATATCCCCGGTGTGGCTGCGCTTGATGTGCATGTTGACAAGGTGCCTACCTGTCTATTACCCACTACCTCGTTCATACTGGTTCCAGGAGACAGTTGGTCATTGCTGGAGAGGACGGGGGTGCACGATCCTTGTGGTCGTGCTAGACTCGTAGAGTGGTACCATGCACTCAGTGTGGAGCGGACTACGGTCCAGCCACCGCCTTGTGTGTGCTTGATTCCCAAATACAGTGTGCTTGTGTTTGCCTGTGAAGGAGTGTGGGCCGGCTCCGTTGATGAAACGTGGCTCCCATCCACATGTCTCCCGGTCTTATTCCTTCGGGTTTACACTGGATATGGGGTGTGTGGGTGGTGCAGCGCAAGCCACCCATGGTCCCTTTGTAGGCGCAGGCGTCCTGTGGCTGGCCACAGTGACAGGCAAATCCGAAACCGGATGCGCCAACCATATATACATATATATAATGGCGACCTGCCCTAGTCGTGTTCGTCAGATTTGCTTCGGTTGATCGATGTGCTCTTTGGGACTCTCTGCTCAGGAAAGGTATGCCCGAGAAATAGGTAAGTCTTATCATTGCGCTGTACGCGAATAGTTGACGATGTCGGTTGTCACCTAGCAATCTCTGAGCCTTCATTTATCTGTCCTCTCCTTGCACTGGTTGTGAGTATCTCTTAAGGGTGACGGGGAAGATTAATACTACTGCAAATGGCGAGCGAGAATATCATATCTCGCAGTATTATATCTCGCAGACAAACGGAATAGCGTCATTTATTGCCGCATCTTTTTAACATATTACGGCTCTACAACGTCCCATTTGGGCCCAATGCCCTGTCTAGATTTTTAATCCGCAAAGTGAACGTTCGGGAATTTTTTAAATTCCGACATTATTTTATCCTTTGACTTTCCTCGCCGGCAAACTATTCCATTATTTTCATTACCACATGCTAAGTGAGCTGTCTGCTTCAGGTCCAGTACGACAAGCTTGTACCGGTGCCCACTAGTGCTGCGTGATACGCGCACTTGCAGTGGCGACGTCAACATGGGGAAGTCACCCAGATGTAATATGCGGTTCATCATCTTGTGGACCGTTTGAAATGGGTAATACGATGGGAAATACTGTCCCATTCTCCTGCATCAGTTTTCCTGTGGCATATCCCTAAAGTACTGGGGATTAGCCTAGTAGATACGTGCTGGGCACCTTCCAATCTCCACACATCGCTAGGTATGACCAGCAAATGGACGGTTGAGCCATACTCGAGCATTGGTTTTACAACGGAAAAGAAGTGACATATTCACACATTTTCCGATTTCTGTGCCCATTTGAGTCATTTTTGTGTTACGATTCACATTCCATTACAATCCGTTTTTGCTCCCGTTGCTTTCCTTTGTCAGGTTGCCTTTGTGTGTGTTGGTTGCTAAACTCTAACTGCTTTTCTCCAGCATTACCGACGGACAATATAACACGTCCACTTTTGAGAATCCCTCGCTCTTGACACGCCTGCATTCTTTTTCTGACTTGTTTGTTCTCCGTTGGCGTTTGTATTTTCACTATGTTTTGTTAATCTTTTCATTAATGCATTACGTCTGTCACACGTTTCTGCCAGTCAACTTTACGTCTTCAATGACCTATTCCTGTGGACATGGACTGCTTGGATTGTCGTTACATCGATGTTCTTTCGTTTGTTGCCTATTTTTACAGGTCGTTTTTCTTGGTCTTCCCGCCCAAGAAAACGTGTGAGACCCCCGGGGGGTAGTCTGTCTCCCTCTGAAAATTCAGACAGTTCCGAAAGTGAGAGCGCGACTGGTTCACTCTCAACGGAGAATCGGTACGCGGTGTCATCGACCGCCTCGACCGGCTCAGCTGGACCTGGTCGGCCGTCAAAATTTCGCAAGTCTTCCCGAACCCCTCATCTCACTGATGCTTCGGAGAATGGTACATCCACATCCGATACCAAAGTACGACATTCCGCTTTCCCATCGCGGCAAATTTCTTCAGACCTTCACTTTTTGCAACGGGAATTTGTGCTAATGACTGATCACCGTACGTGGGACTGTAAAAACTCCGCCAATGACGAATGACAATATAGGGTGGAAGAAGGGTGGTGAACTGTTTAAGCAATCGTTTAGTGTCAAGTTGTTTGTATCCTATCAACAATACTTAGTCACAATACTTAGATGGTCATAGCAGGAGAACTGTGTGTACCATTGTAGAGGTAGGTGCCTTGGAGTTGTCACTTCCTCTCTCTCACCATAGCCAACCCTTATCTCATTCGACATCATACACACGTACACACACCTTAGACACTTTTGCTGGCCTCGAAGTAAGCGCCGGATGGGTCACGCGGACCTCATTCTGGAAGCGGAGGCAAACGAACCGCATCCGGGTTGGCGGTTAACGACATTATGTCTCGCAGCCAAAAAGACGATTCTTCTCACCGCTGAGACTTACGCACTCTAACTGCAACACACAGTGTCCTCGACAACAAGTGGGATTGCGTTCGTAGCACGTCTCTAAATCGGCGCAGTCCATTCAGTCTTAGTTGCTGATCTGACGAGTTAAGCCAACTCTCATATTCTGGTTCTAGTCTCCGTATCTTATCTCTGTGGACACGATGGCGTCACCAGACGCGAGCGACCCTCTGCGGGCAAATACGGTGAAAGACCTGAAGGCATCTGGAATCTAAGGGATTGTATATGTAGGCCGAGGGGATGAGCCGTTTGCATTGGAATCCAAATGTCTCGCGTTCAACTCTCGCAGTATCCCTAGCCCATGCTCGACTCCTGGCGGTCCCGTAGCAGCGAAGCGTTCATTCGGCTCACCGGTGTGCTGTCAATGCTTCGGGCTTGTATATGAAAATGGCCCTCGTTTTGGCCCTGTGGACAGGACCAAGGGAAATCCCTTTGGGAATCAAAGACGTCACGAATTTGTACATTTCTGCCTTTCACAGTACATGGTCCACCCTCAGCTGTCACTCGGCCGTCGTTGCTGCTGCGGATACCAAGATTCATGAAATGATCAGTTGTCCAATTCATAGCCGTCAGGACTCAAAAGGTTGTCCAGTGTCTGATTGTTCTGCCCGCAGCATTTTGCTTGAATTTCCTTGTACTATTTATTCTCTTTGAACTGTATGTGCCATCCTTATTGAGTCATTTGGATGAGTAGCCCTGTATCACTTACCCGGTTTTCACTATAGCCACGCTATGCACGCTAGACCGTTTTGCTTCGTCCGAATGTGTTTTTGTTTTCTGCAAGTGCTCTGGGACATTTTATGATTGACTGTGGATCTCTTTTTACTAGCCTCCTCTTTAAATGCCTTTGGCTTAGTCATGTCCTCCGTATGCTTGTTGATCGCAGTCTGTATCCTAGAGGCTCACAAGTCTACCTTGTAATCCGAAAGCGCGGATTCGAGCCTGCGTAGAAGACCGGGCGACCCTCGCAGTATCCGTAGCCCACATGCAACTGGTGGTGGTTACGCTGCAGCGAAGCATCGGTACCGCGTATCGGCATACTGCGGATGCCTTCTTCTTCTTCTTTCTTCCTGTTCACCGGCTTCCTCGTCCTGCATCATAGCCGTTGTTTCACGAATTTGGACGGAACCGTGCAGTGGCCAGTCGATAACCCGGTATACGAGCATGATGCAGTTGACTGAGAGACTTGGTCAGGTTGCTGCGTGACAGGCCTAGCGCACTCATGCAGTCTCTGGTGTTCTTGCATTCGATTTCTTGCATCTAGCTGATAGTTTTTATTCCATCCCGATTAGTTTTATTCTGTTTTCTCTCTCATTGTTAGTGTACGGTAAATGCTATGGGATACAGCAAGTGTGGTTGCAACTTATCGGAATACGGTTTTCCACTGAGAAATCAAACTTGTAATCGATTTGGCTCAAATCCACATCGCGTTCCAACACGGAAGTGATGACGTGATACAGACACATAGACGCATGCCACAGTTGTATTAAACCAACTCGTAGTTGTCCCCAGTAGGCCAACACATCAAAACACAAATACTGCGACAAGCATTATTTCAAAATGTCCATCAAGTCGAAGCATGGGTTCAGGAGTGGTATCGTTGTGCGAAACGAGTCAGAAAGATAGGCAGTCAACGTCCTCAGTTTGTTGGCATCAAGACTATCATTTTGATAGGCAACTAGGTCGCTCCGTTTCGCAGCCAAAGCTCACTTTAGATGTGAATGCACTGCTTCCCAACGCGTATGAGAACCGCCCTTGAACGCCTGATTTCGCCGCTTCCACTGTTGCTGAATCGCCGAAGCAAATCACAAGGTTTGATCTAGTCCTCCTATCTAATACGATGTCGTGCGTTGATGAATTCTGTTGCTGGCATCTACTGTCACCTGGTCCTCTCACTTTTGAAGCACTTACAAATAGGGCTCCATTGACCTCCTAGCTATCGCTCTACCTCCGACCTGTTAGAGAAGTGATCCGATTAATTCGATAGTTATGAGTGCGTACATTATGCGCTCATGTTGTGCGATCATTTGACAACCAGAACTTCGCGGGCAATGTAGTCTACACGAATGCGCAATTGAATGGGTTGACCACCGTGCCTAATTTCTGCTTGTGTCTCCGACCCTCTGAACGCGGTGTTACTTCCGGACTAAACTAACCTCTCGACCTCATCATTATCAGTAAACTCCTCGACTTGCTGAATTAGTTCACTTATCATGACTATATCACCAATAGCATTCCTACCGCCATAAAACCTTGCATTCTTCAAAGTGAAACACCCTCTGATGCAAGGAATTTAGACGAATAGAACAGGCTCATTTTTCTCTCTACAAATGCCCGGCCTTCTTTTCCTTCGTCCAAAAAACCTTTGTATCAACTTTCACTGTTTGATTTATTGCGATAATTTTTTTATTTCTTAACTTAGATCGATTTTTGTCCTTACCTACTCACCATCACTCTGGACTGAGGTTGATTTTCATCTCTTAATGCTTGCTGTCTATGCTTTTTCCCTCTTTTCTTCCATTTTAGAGTCGTCCCGGTTTTTCCCTAAAAGAATTGGCGAGCAGCTTCGAGTTTGAGAAACTTCGTTTCATGAATTTCACTTCCCGGCGCATATTCGTGTGTGCTGTATGTGGCGGAGCCGGTGAACAGGCACCAGTCCAATCCTCCAACCAACTCGACGCGGATTCGTTGCTGTGTAAAAAGTCCCAATTGGATCCCACTCTGGAGGACGCTTACTATCCAATCATCGTTGCTTGTTTTGGTGGTTGTGGGAATTACCTGCACCCCAATTGCGCACGGACAGTGACCCTACCACCGGCAACGAAGGCGAGGTTACCACTGGACGAAAAGGCCGGTGTATCCTCCGAGTGCCCGAATGAGACCTCCTCCAACGTTGCTTTTGGGGACCCCCATCCGTCCGATGATCCGGCAGCAGCCAAATCGGTCCCAGCCTGTGACCTGTGCATTATGGGAATTAGGCGTTGTTTTATCTGTAATGTGAGTTTTAGCTCTTGCATTTTCTCGGAACTCATATACGCAGTCGTGATGATCAAACCTCTATTGGAGAGAGAACGGTACATGTGGCTTTGCGGCTGGTAGACTATATGTTACATCAGACGTTTCTAATGAGCTAGAGTGTACTACGGTCGATGTTTCGCAACAAACACTTGTGCCGTTCTGGATCTTTTATTTTATTTGGACCTACCATGCTAGTTAGTTCTTGTTCTCATAGTGTTTGTCGGCCTGTTACATCTCATCCTATGTCTGCCCAACTAAGTGATGATGCCGACGAAAAATGCGCGTCTTTTTAACCAGATCCAGTGGGATCACTCACACCAATAGTTCGGAATTTTCCGACGCAATGTGATTGCGAAACCAATGGCATTCCTTCTTTAAGTCCATCACATCTTTCTGACTGCTCATTCTAACAATTAAACCTTTCTATCCTTAATCCTCGGAGTACTTCTGTCCTTGTTTGGTTACCCCCTTTCCTCTCTTCGCTCCCCTAATTGTTTCTAAGTACGAGGTTTGTTCAAAAATTAACCGATCTTCTCATTGCTCCTTGTAAAACATTTTAAGCACTACTCAACTCAAAATAGTCGCCACTGCTGGCGATGCACTGTTCCCAATGGTGCTTCTGTTTTTAGAAAGCCTCCTGGAAAGCACTTTCTGGGATGTCGCGCAGGTCTCTTGTCGCATTGGTCTGGATCTCCTCTGTGGTTTGGAAACGGCATCATTCCAACGTGGTTTTACGTTTTGGGAAACGAATAGTCTGATGGAGCTAGGTCCGGAAAATACATGGATGGGGTACAGTGGGAGTTCTATGTTTTACTAGACAGCTGCGGACAAAGAGCAATGCGTCAGTCGGCGCATTGTCATGATGCACCATCTAAGAAGTCTGGTTTTACCGCAGTTCAAGCCTCTTTTGCGCACCGCATCTTTCCAACCTGTTAGAATTACCTAATAGACGGTCTTGTCTACCATCTGAATACGTAGCACAAATTTCTGATGGACAATGCATTTCCAGTAAAAAAACACATGCAACATCACCCTGATCTTTCACCGACTTGTGCGTGCTTTTTGGACGAGGATACCTTTTCCTCATCCGCTGCGACGACTGCACCTTCATTCCAATATCATGGCAATAAACCCACATCTCATTGTCTGTTATGCTATTCTTAGGATTTTCATTGTCAACAACAGTGGTAAGCAGTTCTTGTCCGATTTCAACACGGTTCTACTTATGATCGTCAGTCAACAAACGAGTTTCGCATTTACACGACGCATTTCACATTTGTCACTCAAAAGTTACTGGCATGATCATACGCTGATGCTCACTTCGCCAGCAAATTTTAGGCTAGTTGCCTGGCTATTTCCACGGATCACCGCACGAACTCTCGACGTGGTCATCATCTGTTGATGTGGAAGGTCGTCCAGGCCTGTTCTCGTCATCAAGCGACGTTCTGCCGTTTTCAAACACTTGAGCCACTTACGGCACTGCGTTCGACTCATACAGTCCGCCCCGTATGCTTACTTAAGTAATTGTAATGTCTAAAAGTTTTGCGAAGTTTGTAGTAAAGCACACACACGTTGTTCCTCAATCTCTAATTGTCACTTTGACACCAACCCGAACAGCTTGTGCACTTGTTCACTTCTGTGACTGTAGCTGGCCTGCTAGCTAACAAAATGCGGTAAATAGTAGATTGTTGTGTATTTGGTACAGGAAGAGCGAGTGAACCGCTCAGCACGATTATATCACGCACCAGGCTCCGATGGCTGGGCCACGTGTTGCGCATGCCAGCACACCGACTCCCGCGACGTGCTTTGTTTGCGCGTTGTGGGTGCGGTTGGAAGAGGAGGAGGGGAGGCCAAGTGATGACTTGGTCGAGAGAAACGAAAACCCTCACTTCGAAGTTGGCGTCGGTTGATGCATCCCGACTGCCTGGTTGGGGTCCTAAGGACGGTGAACACGTTTGGTTGGACACACTTACTGATATGGCTAGGTGCCGGCCCCAATGGCGTTTGTGTTGTGAGTTCCTTTGTCCATCCCCCTCCTGTTTAGCATCCCCCTCCAATCACAATCTCAATCGTTTGGCATAATATGACTTTCTTTTACGGCAGCCAGCTGTTAGCTCTCCGGAACGATGTCCATCCGTTACTGGGGACTCAGCGGGCGTGCCACTGTTTGTTGTTGTTGTTTTGTTTTTTCTTCTTTTCTTGCCTTTTGTATTGCGGCACAATAGCTGAGGTGTTTTCCACCTCCGGCTAACGTGTAATGATGATGATGATGATGATGTTGTGTAAACAAGCCCTACGTGCGCTCAGTAGCCGATGCGCACTCCCTCTTTTGGTTGGGGCGATATTTCAAAAGTTCGGTTTCTTTTTGAACGTAGTATTCTCATTCATCTGGAGACTTGGTCGTAATTGACCAGTAAATCTAAGCTATCGAATGTGTGTGGAACACTGTCCCTCTATATATAACCTGATCCTTCGTTCAAGCAGGCAGGTCCAGTTCTGTGTGATCAGCTTCCCATCATTTACATAATGTGGCTAAATTTGCCCTCATTTTCCTGTAACCACTATTTAAGCGAGCACTGTTTGACTAGTTCTGTGATGGAACCAGTGACTCCTCTTGCTGTGGATTATCTAGACCAACATTGAGTATTGTGTTAAGTACAAGCGAACACCCTATGCACCACTTGCTAGCTCTCCGGAGAGCCACATAGTTTCTCCTTTGACTGCGTGCCCTCACTTAGGCATGCCGTGTGTGTGTGTGTACCTCCTTATCCCTCTGTTCTTCCCTCGTTTTTCTCTCACTTGTAGGCGCTTTTTTCCTCTTCTCGCACGCGGTTGCGCATGGCAGTGAAGCGCATATCAGCGCTGTACGCCGATGTGTCGCTGTCATCGCCCCACCGTTTCATGAGCAACCGTAAGTGCTTCCAAGGCGCTATGGTCTCATTGTGCATCCCCATCCACTCATTCCCATGATCTTGTTGTGGGTACAATGTGCAGTTTGCGATAGGGTCTTTCACCCCCATATGCGAGGTGTTTCAGTGGCTACAATCGCGAATATTGCTTGAGCAAATGTGTGACCACAGTGATCTGCCTGTGTCGATAGTACCTTTTGCTCCCAGTTCTGTTCAAACTATTTTACCAGCTACTAACTGAGAAACGAACCACAGTAGATTCAGCGCTAATCATGACATCTCTTGCTCAGATATGCACAAACGCCGTGTCAGTCGGAAGAATGGTCACGTGCCACAGCAGCTACCACCCGTCGTCGCTATTCTCCTTGTGTTCTTTAGGCTCTACTCGTTTCTTTCAGCTGCCCGTCGGTTTCGGCTAGCGTGAAACGGTACTCGTTTTTTACCTTCTTGATACTTATTGTACTCGCCATATACTTACTTTCATGTCGGTTATATTCTCTGGCTAAGTGTCAGTGTGTGTGCTGTGACCTTCAGTTTGCGCTGATTCAGCGTCTAGATCAACCGTTTATTATTATTGGTATTAGTATTATTATTACTCTTGGTATCTGGTACGCTTCACGGATGGGTGACTACATGCATCTTTTGTGCCATATGCTTAGGCACATTCAGTTTCATGTTAACTAATACAACCATTCATATTGTCGTGGATTTTTACCGCTCTGTTCTCCACATTACCAGCTTTCCACTTCAGTGTAGTCGGCCATCTGCTGTGTTAATACTCACAATGCTTATCATGGGCACACAGCATTGTTTTACGAGTGCCGATTCTATGGCGAACACATGCCTCATTGCTGCCTTCGGTTCATGCCACCACCCCCGGATAATTCGAATTACGACCAGGCGTGTCTCTAGTCCGATAATACCGTTATTTAGACTACCAGCTCCCAAAGACCTTTGCTTGTTGCTAAGGAAGGCTGGATGCATAGCTTCCTTGATAATACTGAGTTCAAAAGTTGATTTCCTTCATGAAGCAGGCCGCTGCCGCTGCTCTGTCCCACTTTTATGTGGATGTATGACCAACAGGTACCGTTCCCACACATACGAAGTGTATTGTGTGACACCGTCTCTTGGCGTTGCTGTACCCATGTAGCGGTTCTCGTATCTGCTGTACTTGTTACTAAACTGCTGGTCTCATTCTTCGCTCCCGCTAACATACCTCCAGGTCTTATCATTTCGAGTGTACATGACCTATGGGTGCAGTGTGTGTACGAGGCTGGAGATGTGCATCGTGCAGCGCCTTTCGTCTGCTGTCTCTCTACGTTCACAAGCGCCTACCGCTTTCTTGCCATCACAGTGGCGAGCAAATTTGGCAACAAATATTTCTGCCAATGATAATGCCAGTTATCATCGGGTGATTAAGAGAAGAGGTTCCAAAGAAGGTTGGAAACATTGCAATCGCTCTTTAGAGAAACAGGAAATTTACACGCTGTTCCTGGATTACGCCGTCGGACAAGGTCTGCATCCATTGCCTCGGTCAGTGCTGTGGTTCCCATCTACGTTGACGTGACGCACAATCACCATCCATCAGTATTTTCCGTTTATCTTTGTCAACTTATCACTCGGTCACTTTGAGACCTAACTCAACCATCCTCCATTCTGCTAGACAAGGCATACCGGCGTAGGCGTTCGGTTCAATCTTCAAAAAGCGTAATTTAACCATCATAGGGGGTTTAGCTTTACGTGTCAGAGTAGAGTGGGGTATAGTGCCCCATTGTCGAACGAACAGCCTACTGACCCCAGCAGTTACTCGCTGAGGTCAGATTTGAGTAGCCCTTCTCCATCGTCATCACCAACATCAGTACTCGGGGATGAGAATCTCGGTTTAGTCCACATTAGTAGTTGGAGACTCTATCGGAGACTTCCCAGTCAATGACGCTCTTGCATTCAGCTGTTAATATTCATTCTGTCTCGATTTGTTTTGCGCACTTCTTTTAACCTTATTTTCTTGGCATTTTCTTTTACCGTTATCCTAACGACGCGAGTCATGTCATCTGGATCCATCTCATTTCATTGCTCGGATCATGGTTTCTTTGACTGAACCGAACACCAATGAAATGTACTGTTGCTTCTGTACCTTATAAACATTACGCTGTGACCTTACTTATGAGGAATGTGAATATGGGTGAGCACAGGGTCTGAGACATAAGGCTTCTACGTTGTAATCAGAATGTTACCGGTTCAATTCTGCTTATGAGAAAGGGGACGTCGTGGTGTCACCAGCCCACGCGCGACTGGTGCTCGCGTAACAGCGAAGCATCGGTACTGCGTGCCGGCGTACTGCTGATACCTTCTCTCTTGTGATGTAGGTTCTAACGGTACAAAGCAAGTCTACATGGTCAAGACGCGTACGTATATCAGCACTGTGCGTTTACAAACAACTGGTTTCGCTGCTTTGTGTGCTTCGTTTCACAGAGGACAGTAGTCAAAGACGAGCATTCTTTTAACGCATTCTTTAACGCAGAATGCCCATCTCTAGTCTTATGCCTCGTGATATTACTAGATAGACTATTTTTCGTGGTTTCTCTGAGTGGCTAAAGTGTTAATACATCATTCACCATGATGCTCTCAGTGACTTCTGGTCAGTTACTCATCAAGCGTGTTACGAGAGTTGATTTAGTGACCGTTGTCCTAAGCCTTGCGACGTTACCTTGCACTTGCTTATGGCACGCTTATGCCGAAATGCACACCGCTCTGCAACGGTCCTTTCGGCTTCATTTCTCATACTCTATGCTAGCCAGTTGCCCTTGTGACAAACGTCCACTCCGGATGATTCAACCGAGAGAGTCACGCACTGACATTTCGAACATACGAAGAAGAAAAGTGGAAGACTTTTCTGCAATTTGTCTTTCATATCAGAGTCTCATTCTCGTGTACTATGATGAGAGTGTTTTGGAACAAATGAAAATGTCTGAGAAATTTCTGACCGCTGTGGAAAACGTCACTCACTAAGCTCATTGGCCTGGTATTGAGGGCATTTGTCTGGAACCCTGATTTTACCAATACCAGTAGGATGACTACTTCGAAGGCCGTGACAAATAAAGCGATTGGCCCGAGGATTTTTGCAGAACGTAATGGATCTCCTAACGAAATTTGTTTCGGTGGTCGGACTGTTCACCAAGCTGGGCAATTTTACTGCAAACGATTAGTCACCACCCGATGTGACATCATCATCTTGCTGTTGTTTAGCGGCGCGATGCGAGTGTTAAGATGTGTGCTTGATCCATCGTCTGGGAAGACGCGTCGTCAGTCGGAATTCGGATTGTACGGCGGCCAAGTGACCATCGAACTACTTGATAGCCCTTCCTCCAATAGTTTTCCTTTCGTATCATTATTTTGACGTGAATGGCCAGATCAGTCTGCGGCGATTGATAAACTCTCCAGGGAACAGCCATGGCCCAGAGGATCTGACTCATAGCATTTAACTATCACTGATTGCAGTCCATAGTTATGATGTCTAGGTGTTGCCTGTCCTCGACTCTACAATCCAAGATAGCCCCAACTCAGCTATGATGTTACTAATTCCTGGATAGCTGGAGAAAAGTTATGCGTGTCAGATTTAGTACTCCGGGCTCAGAAATAAGGATAGGGCACAAGCGCAACACTGGCTTTGGTATCACCATTTCACACCGGCTGTCTTCGATGAAACAGCACCTAATTTCTATTCAAGTGGTCGACTGGGTTACAGTCACTCAGCTTACTTACAGGATGATGATGGTGATAATGATTCAGCCCAATTATTTCTCATTAGGTTATTCTTACATGTTTTTCAGTTCACGTTGGTCGTCCGTTCTCACCCTATTCTCTTCAGATTGCATTTGCTTACTCTGCCGCGTTTCGGTGTGTCTCCAACCTAACCTATACAATTTTTGACGGTTGGTACCTAGTTTTTATTGAACACCACCGGATTTCAGTTACCTGTTTGTTTTTATCTTTGCGGACTCATCCTTCGAACTTATAACCATTCACTAACGATGTTGTCGCAGCATCGGTTTTCGGGACTGCTTGCATGCCCCACGTGGTTATCACTTGCCACTCTCCGCTTGTCTTTACGCGAAACGCTGTGTAACGAATTTACCTTAGTATGAAATAACCCTTCGGCGCGTTCGTTACACCCTTTCTGTCTTCAGCTTACTCAACCTTGTGCCCCATTGATAGTCTCACAAATCACCTCGACTGCTGAGGTTGTGGAGACTGAACCAGGTGCCTACGATGTCGAAAATCATGCTGCTGCACCGGGTTGTGACCCAACTGTGTCTGCTGTCGAGATGCATGTTCCGGACGCGAACTCCATATCGACCGCGACAACCACCGGTAGCGAAACGGAGGCAACCCCATCAGGTGGTACTACTGATGATGACAAAACTTGCTCCAACAAAGATCAGATGATTCGGTGTTCCGTCAAACCTTGCCACCGATGGTTCCACCCTAGCTGCTTACGCAAACCGCCCTTTAGTGTTATGGTTCGTGACCGGAGAGCTGGCGCTTTCTCCTGTCCATCCCACACGTGTTTGGCTTGCGCCGTAGAATCGCCGGGTACAATTCCTCGCCCCGCGCCACGCTATGTTCAATGTTTCCTCTGCCCTGCGGCCTACCACCCTGGTGACTGGTGTCTCCCAGCTGGCAGCAAAGAGGTAAGTCGATGATGAAGCCATTCACGACGTTTATTGTTTGCTTGCCAAAACGGACGAAGTGAGGCTCCAACTGTAGATATATACAAGGTGGCCACAAAGTCCCCGGACACTCCACGTTTATGCATATACCTACGTAAATCAGTGTATAAATGTAAAAAATTGTACATGATACTTGTCTAGGAAAAGAAGGGCTCTTCACTGATCAATGAAATTCATTGAAACAAACATGTGCTAGCCTATGATCACACTGTCATGGATCCAATGTGTCTATGTGTTCACCGTCATTCTCAGCACATAGACGAATGCGTCTCCAAGTGCGTGCTGCAATGAGTTGCAGAACATCAGGGGAAAACGAGTTCAATGAAGTACGGATTGCAGCTTTAAGGTTTGTCGTGTTGTTGTAAGGTGTTTTTCTACTGCTTACTGGTTGGAAGCAGCAAGTAAATTTTGCTCTGTGTAGCTGCATCAATTGTCACTCATGGACAAATACCCGTTATGTTGTGTTCCGGTCAATATATTTTGCGTCGGCAAAGTGTTTGTCAAGGAACTTCTTAAATTTCGACACCGACTTTGCCTCAACTATTTGCTACAGCAGGTCCTTCCATACATTCACCACTGCGTTCGAAACAGAGTTGGTGAGCGACCCGCTTCAAATCCGGTACGACAAGCTTATACCGGTGTCCTCGTGTGCTGCTTGGTGTGCGCAGATGAAGCAGTGGTCTCAACATGGGGTAATCACCCAGATGTAATATCCGGTGCGTCATGATGAGGTCAACCCTCAGTCGATGATAAGCTAGGGTGTATAGTCTTAGTTTCTTCACCGCTCTTCGTACGGCACACCTTGTAAGTTGGGAATCAGCATGATGGCTACATGCTACACTCGCTCAATCTTTTCTGCCTCGCGGCGGATGATAGGACAATAGGCAGGAGAGCCATACTCTAGCATTGGTCGTATTATTGAGACGACGAGGCGATAGGCAATCTCTTCAGACCAAGTGCTGAAGCTGCGCCTGAGAACCCAAAGCATACGAAGGGTGTTTTGGTAAATCCTATTCCTGCTATCCATGGACTTTAGCGTACCGTGAGAGTACACCGAGATCCCGCACAAAAGTCGCGAGATGCAACAGTTGACTAGCCACCGTGTATATCCGGCTGTGCTCACAGTTACCCAGACTCATAGACTGCGACTTGACCGGGTTGATCGGAAGGTTGACCTCTGCAGACCACGTGGAGAGGCGGTCGAGCTCTTGCTGAGACAAATCACAATCATTGGGTTTGCGGATTACTCTCCACACCTTCAAGTCATCTGATGTCTTTCATCATGCCACACAAAGCATTGTCACATGATGAGAGGTCAGGACTGCGAGCTGACCATCAATGCTGTGATCCACATCCAATCCACCGGCCAGGGAAATTCTCATCCAGGAACCGCCACACCGAGATAGCAAAATGTGCAGGAGCACCATCTTGCTACAGAATGGCTACATGCGTGAGTCCAGTTGAAACCAATTGTGGAATGAACCAGGTCTCCAACTTTTCTCGGTAGGTGGACTGATTCACTGAGTTTTAGAAAAACATGGCCCAATGATTTTGGTGGCTGAGATTGCCGCCCACATCATGACGTGCCGTGGGTTGTGGGCGATCTCTGCAGCATAGTATGGGTTAAGCTTACTCCAGATGTAAACATTTCGTGATCGTGAGCTGAGCTAGACAGCACATACATCACTAAAGAAGACATTGTGACGACGGATTTTGGTGGGGAATTCCTAGAGAACTGTTGACAAGCTTCCGTCCGATTCTGTCGATCAATATCAGACATTTCACTGACTCGCCTTGGCCTGAATGCTGACATGCTTTAGGTTAGTTTTGATTCCCTTTTGGAGTATGGAGCGGGGAATATGCAATTCAGCAGACATCTTACGTGTCGACTTCTTTGGAGAATTGAAAACTGACTGCCGAATGATTTCCACGTGCTCCATTCGGAAGGCAGGGCGTCCAGAGCGAGGGGCATCCAGCACAGATCCAACTGCAAATGTTTTCTTCTCCCATGCCAATAATGTGTCCTCTTTTGGTGCAGGCTTCTTGAAAGGCTCCTGGAATTTGGTAGAAACGTCATTGTTATTTTTTCCAGCACTCGATCATGTGCCCAAACTGCAGCTATGAGTCTTTTTTCATTGCATGTCTGAAAATAGAAAGGCAGAAGTATCGTACATATATGCTATAAATATTATGATAAATGTGCAAATATTTAATAATAAATGGTATTGCAAAGAACATCAGTTTTGAACAATGACCAGGGACTTCGTGGCCACCCTGTATGCATATATGGTTGGCGGCATCAGGTTTCAGATTTGCCTGTCACTGTGGCCAGCTACAGGATGCCTGCGCCTACAGAGGGACCATGGGTGACTTGCGCTGCACCACCCACAGCTCCAACCACACACCCCATATCCAGTGTAATCCCGAAGGAATAAGACCGGGAGACATGTGGATGGGAGCCACGTTTCATCAACGGAGCCGGCCCACACTCCTTCACAGGCAAACACAAGCACGCTGTATTTGGGAATCAAGCGCATACAAGGCGGTGGCTGGACCGTAGTCCGCTCCACACTGAGTGCATGGAACCACTCTTCGAGGCTATCACGGCCACAAAGGCCGTGCACCCCGTCCCCTCCAGCAACGATCAACTGTCTTCTGGAGCCAGTATGAACGAGGTAGTGGGTACTAGACAGGTAGGCACCTTGTCAACATGCACATCAAGCGCAACCACACCGGGGATATCAGGCAACAGCCACTCACTTGAGAGAATGATAACAAAGAAAATAAATCGAGTAATGCATAAGGAAACGGTGACATAAATCTTAAATTAACGAGCATATGAAATAAGTTGTTTACAAACGAATCCGAGATAAGTTCACGAGTTCGGAAAGTATATTTTACGGAAATGCTACAAATAAGAAAATGTTATCGCAATTAACGTTAATTGGCTTAGGCGACGTGTGCAAGTTTATAGAAGAGAGTACAGGTAGACATTTATATGAGATAGAAAAGCATTAGGACAAAATTGAAAACCCACCACCTGAAATAAAGAGACTTAGCGTGCAAGCACGCGGTTAGTAAATCGAATGCAGTGTATCTACAAACCCTGCGCCGGTTCTGCCTACGTTCTCTGCAGGACCCGCCGTCGCTTCGGTAGTGTTCACGAGTGGCCTCGCCCATGGTTCACTAAGCCTGCCTGACTCAGGCACTAGCGACCGCATGTGCTGCAGCACCATGCTCTCGATGTCGATGGAGTACAACCCATCGGTGTTTACCGCTTCTTCTTTGCATGTATGAGGTCTTTCTCCCGCACTTCGGCAACTGCCTTCGTGATCAGATCGCGCCATGTACGCCGATCAACCACCTTCGATTCCCATGACCTGCAATCAAGATTAGAACGTGAGAGGCTCACTTTGATCGTGTCCTGGTAACGTGACTTTGGTTTCCCCACATGCCGCTTCCCTATACTCAGCTGACCATATAATAGTTGTATCGGTATCCGCATCGAATCCATACGGCTCACATGACCGAGCCACCTCAGGTGTCTCAGCAAAAGTATGCAGTCAACTGCATACATCTCACTTTGTCGCAACACTTCTGTGTCAGCAACTCTGTCGCCCCAAGTGATGCGCAAAATCCGTCGCAAACACTGTTGATGGAACCGCTCGAGATATCGCACATTCCGCCGGTACATCATCCACGTTTCACTGCCGCATAGAAGAACAGACAGCACCATGGATTTGTACACCATCAGCTTCGTGCCAATGGTATCTGATGGTTGTTCCACACTCGGTACTCAAGCTTCCCGAATGCCGCCGCTACCTTCGAGACGCGGATACGCAGCTCACTGTGTATCTGCAGATCAGTCGACATCACACTTCCAAGGTAGCAGAAGCTGGAGGTGGTTTCCAATATTTCAGCACCAATGCATATATACATATATATATATATATATATATATATATATTGCCGGCAGATTCCCTCATCGCCGACTAATGTTTATTGCACCTGCTAGCGGCCCTTGTTTGATTGATTGTTGCATACATTATGTGTAAACGTTGTTTCGTTTCCGGAAGCATCACACCCTTTTCAACTTAGCCTAAATCTGAAAGTATAAGTTTCCCTAACTATTCCAACTGCAAACATTAGAATAGGGAGTACTCGGGGGTTGAATGGTATAGATGCTTCATCACATCTATACTCACTAACCCGGAAAAACACTAAGTGTGCCACCCTGTCCTCTACACGGTAGTAACGTGCAAATCACTAGATAATAAGCGGTTCTATATCACATCTAGTAACTTTGTCACGTTGTCCGTTACCGTTCCCAGTGGCCCAGTTGTTTTAACCGCAGACTGGTAACAGTCGAGTTGCGGCTTTTAGCCTCACAGGGGCCAGATGGAATGCGCACTGCTGACAATTCCCGAAAGGGCGAAACAGCCGTGCATTGCTTTTCCGGGCGTTTTGTGGCTGTCCGACTAAGTCTAAATGTGATGCGCTTCTACTTGTAGGAATAGAAGACAGCTCTGGTGGTTGACGCATTCATCCTCAATCAATAGCACCTGCAAAATGACGAACCCACGTGACCTCCGTTGGTGCGTTTCACGCCACAACGATAAGTTCCGTGTCACTGTAAGCAGGCAGAGTAGCGTCCGCTTTCGATCAATGACAATGACTTCAAGTGGCTTAGGAATATGGTGGGACTTTTGATTGCGCATAAGGCACTCGAATGATGTGTCGCGGGGCTGACTTGGTGATCGGGGTTCAGTAACTGCCGAGGCAGTTCTGTGTCTCATTTTACCTGGCTCAGTCCTCAAAGATTCCTATTGTTTGCCTAACCACTCCGAAATATGCTCGTCCATTCGAATATTCAGCCTTAAATCATTGCATCAAAGGTATCTGTAGCCGCAGTTTGTGTCTTCACTACGAACAACCGTATTTGGGCTGTACCGTAAATCTTTTTCATTGGAGTGCTTGTCGGCATCTCCCTTTCCAACAGCACCTCATTGGCGACCAACTTCGTTTTCACCATAGTCGCTTGATCTCATTTCATCACGTCACTGCAGCGTGTAAGCTTTGAAGAAATTTACTCACTTCATATGGGTCGTCTGATCACATTCAGACTCAACTTGTCAGTTACCGCTTGTCCAGGAAGTCAGAGATCTGTAGCAATGCGCGTACATTGAGGCATGCCAATCTGAAGAGGATCGAGAGCTCCAAATGGAAGCTGATGAACTGGGGTGGGCTATTTGGTTGGGCATGGGCTTATCGACAGGGCAGGAGTGGGACGCTCCGCGTTTGCATGTGAGTTGCGACAAGAAAATAAACGTCTAGCAAAGCATGTTGGGGGGAGGGTCAGGAATCTGGGGTTATAAGCAGGGGGATAAAAGTGAAGTTGGAACGAAACAATTAGGGTGAAAAAAGCGTAAAAGTGTGACTAAGAAGACGGAAAGGCTTGAGCAGTAGTATCCAAACCCCTGCAGCAAGTATGGCGCTGTTTATTATCCTCTGTGACCACCAGAGCAACAAGAAATTGTTTAATGTCTATTGCGCGCCGGGAATGTGTATGGAAGAGGAGGGGGGCCAGGCGTTTACTTGGTCGAGAAGAATGATGACCCTCACTTTGAAGCTGGCCTCGGTTGAAGCGTCTCTGCTCCCTGCTTGGGGTCCGAAAAACGATGAACATGTTTGGCTGACATGACTAGAATTCGACCCCGGGGGTGTTCGTGGTGTGCTTTTCTTTGTCCCTCCCCATTCCTCCTAGCCTCCCACTCCAATCACGATCTCATTTGTTAGCACAATGTAATTTTACATAATTAATTTTTTGTCGCATAGTAGCCGGCTGGTAGCTTTTCTGTACGATGCCCATCCGTTACTGGTAGCTCAGCTGGCATGCATCTGTTGCATTTATTTTCCTTTTTATGTCTTGTGGCACAGTAGCTGAAGTGTTTTACACCTCTAACTAACTTGTATGATGATGAGGAGGAATGGGAAGAGGAAGAAACTCACCGGACCGTCGTCTATTTTGGGGCCGAGAGCAATGTACGTTGCTGTTAAACCCTGTGAAAATGGTTCATCCATCCTATGCTTTCCCGGTCGCTGTATGATTGAGTCGAACTGCGAGAAATTTTCCTCGAGATCGGACGGTGGCCGAAAGTATAACGCCGGTTAGCATCCGCGTACGTGCGCGCGACATCGCGGTGCACTCGACCCGCGTGCGGCTGTTGGTGGTCGCTTGACAGGTAAATGTCGGTACGGTGTACCGGCGTACTGCTGATGCCTTCTGCGAAATTGACTGAATCTTTGATCGTGCTTATCTCCCTCGAATGTTCATCAATTCCACTTTAATGGTTTACCTTAGTACATGAATTTGGATAAAATATCCAGCTTTGCTATTCCAGTCATTGATAGTTTCCTCACTGTCGCTGTCTTCTCCACTTGTGTTGCATACATCGGACTTTTAAAAATGACAAGTGGAAAACCTTTGCCGACTGGTACATCATCTCTGCTACAGCCTAGCGCCTTCTACTGGATATTGTGCTCGCTTTCATTCGCACTGTTGCGTAAATTTTGTCCATTTTGAACACATTCTACCTCTTCCGTTGTCTCATACATTCCAGCTTGCCCCCAACTGGATCATATGTCCTCGTCATGCTCTCGACGACTGCCGATCTCTCACCTTTCTCCCGCCACCATTGAGAATTCCCATCGCCTCACCAACCTTGGCCACAATGTTCCGTCCTACCAACGTGTCTTGGTGTTTTATATGCTCCAAAGGAGGGCGGATAATTTGCTGCGAAACTTGCCCTGCTTCGTTTCACGAAGAATGTCTCAAAATTGATGAGGTATGTTCCCCTCTTACCTGATCGGTCCCGATAACGCATTACGCTTGTAATTTGACGTATCTTTGGTTCGTATGTCCTGTCGCTTCAGTTAGACTATACTCGGACAGCTGGTCGACATATCTGAATTGTCGGCTGATTGCGACGAACAAAAATACTCACCAAAATCCTTCCAATTCGCCCGTACGGATTCCACAAAATGCTATGTCGATTCATAGCTGCCGTAACCGGGAAGTCCTGACGCCAGAAGGCCGACCGCTGTCATCTGCATGGCAAGTGCCTGCATGGCAGTGGAGGATGCGTCGGGCTATATCGCATTTAGCTAACAATTCATGATAGTCAGATACCGTCCTCCATGGCGCAGTTGCATAAGCTGCGGGCTAGTTGGCAAGAGCCACTAGCAGTCATGGGTTCGATCCTTCGCAGAGGACCGAAGGATGCGCACCACTGATGAGCCCCAATAGGGCGAAACGGCCGTCTGGTGCTTTTCCGGACAGCTGGTCGACATATCTGAATTGTCGGCTGATTGTGACGAACAAAAATATACTCGGATGATTGACGTGCGCTGAACGCTTCTCCTTAATATATCATGTGTAACCACGCCCACTGTGAGGTTGAAAACTCACCTATTCCCTATGTTGTCACCTTATTTATCCTGCTTCCAAGGGGATTGCTCCTCGTCTCTGAGCAAAGCATGATGCATGTGACGACCCCAGGCCCAAAAAGTCTTTCCATTTTGGAACACTAGGTTTACCACAGATTTTTTTCAAAAAAATTCAGACGCTTAACAATTTCCGTAGGTAAACAATGAGACCAATGATGTGAGTGTAACAACAAATCTAGCGCGCAAATTTCACATGTGCGCATAGTTTGGTTACCTTGTACTTTTATCCCGGCAACTTGGATCCGCTCATATCATGCAAATGGTGTATTGTATCCTTATGTTGAGTCTTGAATCCGGTTTACGTAGGAACCGAGATGATAGCGTTCGAGTGAGTGTTCCGCGATTGTGATACACAGAGGGAGAAGTTCCGGGGGCGTTACGATCGGACATATTATGTGGCCAACTTCCAATAGTGGCCACTCAAGGAAGTGTTGTGACTACGTTTCAGTAAATTTCGACACGCATGGATTGGATCTTTGAGAGACGTATACACCAAGCTAAGATCACCGCACAGCCTGCCCGTGGCCTTAAGTATTACATGCCTGCTTTATAATCCTGCGGTCGTGGGTTCGAGTCTGCGAAGGGGACCGGGTGACCTTCGCCGTATCCTTAGACCACACGCGACTGGTGGTGGTTGCGCGCCAGCGGAATGTCAGTACTGCGTACAGGCGTACTGCTGATGCCCACACAGACGACAATATTGGTCACTGGAAATCCCTTCAGTCTTCGTTGGTAAGGGAGATGGAGCAAACTCTTAACGTTTTTAGTCTCCCTCGATTGGGGATCCTCAAGAACAGCGAGGCAGTCTACCAGGGGTAGTCTATTCAACATGTGACCCCACTGCATTTCTTCATTCCGCATATCAGGTAGAGGTGAGAAATATCGCGGCTATTGTGCCGGTATACAATTCAACCAAGTGGTAGAAAAGCTTAAAAAGGCAGCAGCAAAACGAAACACTAATCTTATGATATTTTTTGTATTACTGATTGACGAGCACATCATGCTTGCATAGAGAGGTCAAGTAGGATAGCAAGGAATGGGGAAATTCGCAACTTAGGCGCCATTGAGGTCGGTTCTTCGCCATATAAACATGTGCATCCAACCGAAGCCAACTTCGTAGTGAGGGGCTTTATTCCTTTTTCCCAAGTCATCAGTTGACTTCCACTTCTCTTCTTCTATCCGGACTTCGGTCATGCAGACAACGCGTGGGGTCTGTATTCTGGCATGCCTAACACATGGCCCAGCCATCTGAACCTGGTGCGGCATATGGCCTCATGCAAGCGTTGATCATTTGCCAGATGACTGCAGGATCAACTTGGCCAAGGACTCTGCAGAAAGTACAGTGCTAGCTAGCTTTTATTGCTGCTTTTTCGAACCTTGTTGTGCAACCGATATCGTTCTGAACGAGAACCCAAAGATCACCTTCATCTGAAGCGCTTTGTAAAACGTCTTCTCCGTGATGTTCGTAACTTTTCTAGTAGTGTATGTTCATTACTCTATATTTGAAAACGCTGAACTCGAGTATGATCTGAGCTGACCACTCGTAAGTCATATGAACACCAACTTGGAGTGCTGTATGATGGTCTACCGTCTTGATTGTCTTCCAAGTCTTGAAAACACCAGCAGAGTGGAGAGTTTGTGACGATCACTTCCGCGATTTCTATGAACACCAGGAATAGCCATGGTTCTAGTACCGAACGGGTTACGGCCCAGCAATTGTACTTTGTCTGTTACGCGCACATTTCTCCCACTTTACTCTAACACTTTCCGTGTTGCGATGGTATGGGTCTCCTCCGAATCAACCATGGCTCCCATCCGCATGTCTCTAATTTTTACTCCTTCGAGTCTACATCACATAAGGAATTTGTGGACCTAGCGGTGCAGCGCAAGTCACCCCGTGGTCTGTAGTCGGGCGTACTCATCCTCTGACAGTGACACGTAGGTCTAGAAGTGAACATCGCATGCCATGCCTGATAGCACTTGACGATATGTTTGGAATATCCAGACGATCCTATTCTTTCAAAACTGTTGTTTAGCAACCCTGTGTGCATTTATCCTGGAACGAGAACGCTACGGGTTATCTCTTATAATGGTGGGTGAGCATGTCCATTGTTCACTAATTTGTTGCCATCGACCCAAGCCTGACGCCCTCTTGTAAGCATGGCTCAGTCACCGAAACTTACTTGTGATTTGTTGAGTTCGTAAGCGCCCTATCGAATGCATTGGAGTAACTACGCTAGTCGGCCGGTGCCCAAAAGGATTGCACCTGCGTGGCGAACCGGAGGCCACCGGTTCGCATCCGCGTAGGTGCGGACGACCTCACGGTGTACCCAGCCCTGGCGCGCCTGGTGGTGTTCGCGCGGCAGCGAAGCGTCGATGTGCGTTGCCGGTTTGCTGTGCTGGATGCTTTTAGTTGTGACTAATACGAACTGTCTTCCCCTATCGGCTTCAATCTCAACTCATAATACTTACCCTGACAGCTTATATATGCTATCTTACACAGGTGCTGCTATTGGAAGCCGTAGCTGTGGGAGCCACCTATGTCCTCTGCAACCTTCGTTACTTACATAACATGGAATGAGTCGCGGTGTATCTCACTTTGCCTGCAGGTTATACTAGTGCACTGCCTTCACCCATGGCTTACTGGCTGGTGGTTGGTGTCGACGAACCCTGAATTAGGTTCTCGGTAGAGCCGAAAAGTTCGCACTTCTGACGAGTTGCGATAGGAGGAGACGGCCGCCGAGTGTTTTTCCGGACGTATGGAATACTGTCTGATTTGAAAGAACCCCTACTCACATGCTTCTATATCTCCTATTTCCTTTAAATCTATGATCGAGAGGATCACAATCCACTCCCTCGTCGCGTGAATAAATGGGATACGCGGAACCTATAGTCTTCATACAGTAGGTTCTGGCCCCCGTACTAATGCTGCTGAACGGGCTGACACACGACGCGCGGTATCTTTCGCAAAGGGCTACGGCCCGTTTCAGAACTGAATCCACACGTGCTTCTCCATCGATTCGCTTTTTTATGCACCCGCGTCACCCCAGGGGTCACTTTGCATGTTGCGAGCTGTCATTCTGTCGCTCAACAGTACAATCTTCTGTTATATCCAGCGCCACTGCGTGGTTCAGCAGCGCGCGTTGAAGCTCTTTGGCTTCGGTGATGCCCGTGTAATAGTATCGGTATCTTGCGCTCTTGATCCGCTCCAATCATTGGTGGTCTAACAGTTATTCTATCTGTGATGAGGGCTGGAAACGCTGTAATACCGATCGAACGTCACGGGCCCGACCGATAGGCATTGAGCATGTTTACGGAAGCAGACTGGTCAGCCAATCAGGAAATAGTTGGCTCATGATCGCGCCCAGCCTGCAACCATTCGCTGAACGTGCAAGTGACCAATCAGGCGCCATCAGGCGAAGGAGCGCATACTCGTGCACCCTTAAGCCAAGGCTTGTGGCATTGGACCGAGGGAAGAAGCGCGCGGGCCCAATCCCGCCAATCGTACATCCACTAAGCAAGTCAAGGTGATTTTAAACAATGTGAACGTGGCTAGTAAGCATAAACCAATGGAAAAGGAGCCAGCGACGCAATGCAAATAACAGGGATGAGCCATTGCAACGGACTGTTGTAAATAGTGTATATACTCTATAAATATTCGAGCGTAATCTTAATAAACTACTTCGTGATCGCGGTCCAGTCTTCTTGCTTCCCGGAGGGCAACACGACACTATCCATATGTCTCACGGTCCTTTGAATATACAACTAAGCCTTCGGGTAGGAGGATCAAGGAACTGTTTGTCCGGAACGTCTCAATGTTAATGAACAACCAAGTAAATTGGGTCAGCTTCTATGCTTCAACCAACCATCTGATCAACATCTAGCATCAAACTGGTAGACGTACCGCTTTTAATATTTTGTATCAAGTACAATCGCGACAGAATAATCGACTACTAGCCCGTTTGCTGACTACCACGGAGGCAGTATGCTTGCAGTTAGTATGTTTTAACCTATGCACTTAAAAAGATTAATCCATTCGCATAAGTCTGTTTGAAGCACTTTCGTGAGGATGGATTGCGACGCGCAATCTCAATCTGCTCCGTGATTCACTTTGAAGTGAATTCGAGTCATTGGGGTCCCTGAAACGACCGTATTTCAAACAGTCCGTTGTTAAGGGTTCCCCCTTTCGCAACGCCGCGCTCCACATCCAGCTACTAGTTTTAGCATGACCAGCCGCAAACGAAAAAGTAGGGCTCATTCGCATATGTTGGTACATTTTTGCTACGCGAAACCATACATTGGTGCTACTGAAACTGGCCTAACGTGGGCACTGGCATGGATCTTTGATTCCTTAGGCATGATTGTCGGGCAGATCCCAAATGTGCTGCATCACTGTTAATGGTCATCATTCCAATTGGAAAATTACCGCACCTCAACACCATGCGCGCCGTATGATGCTACCGAACGTACATTCAGTGCCCCTGATCGTCGTATGTCAGATTAAATGAACACATCCCGAAGTGGTTACGCAGCCGGGTGGAATCTTGGACGCCGAAATCGGTTGCATCGGGAAACCGATCTGTCTCTGCAGACACAAGGCAGTTGTTAATCACTGACCAGCGAGTCTGTCCTGGTGAGCCGTTCACAATCGTAATACGTGTCCAGCAGTGCGTGCCGTCTTCGTAAATGTGGGGCTCGGGATGCCTCACACCACTAGCTAAAGACCGTATCAGACATGGCGCAGTCACTCAGTCAGTGGCGTTCCTGCGTTCGGTTTCTTGCATCTGGTTGTTAATTTTCGTTCCATTCTGATTAGTTTAACCCACTTCCTTCTTGCTTCCATTTTCTTCACATTCTATTTGCCTTTAGCCCCACTATATTGCTGTTGCTATTTATTGTTATTCTTACGAAGTCGTGGCAACTGGATCCACCGCACTTCGGTGCTTGCATCATAATTAATCAAATAACTAATTAACATGCTTAGACTATCGTTATCGATCGCGAACAATCACCGCTGTGCATTCGGAAAGTACTGACTGGTTCTTAGCCTACCCTTGGATTGCAAGCGCTTAACTATCTATGATCTCAAAGGACACTGTCTGCTTAGGTATCATTGTTACAGTTTGTGACTGATATGAATGCACGAAATGGCAACGTCATCACACAAATTGCGTCTTCTAACTTTCCTGTTTTTTATTTATAATCGGAATTTCCTATTTTGATTGTCGACGAGTTTTCATCGGACTCTGCTAAATAGAGCTTGCGTACTTCTGCCTAATTTTCTTCGAATCTTCATTGTTCACCATCGCGCTATGTAGCGGCTTTCATTTAAGCCTCCGTTAGCTTACGTACTCTCCAAAATCAACTTCTTATCGCCTCTGTTACAAGCAACAGGACTTGTTCAATTGTTCTATCGCCCCACCGGATCTCACTCCACGGTATCCACATTCATTTCCTCTCTTCAGGTTCCCGACAAATTTGTTTGCGAAGATTGTGTGAACGGACGCTTCCCACGTTACGGTGAAATCGTATGGGCCAGATTGCCTCCAAACTTGAATTCCAGCGCATCCAGTTCACATGCCTACTTACAATATTACACCTCCCTCACAGTGGGTGTGTACTGGTGGCCAGGCGAAGTTGTTCATCCACGACATCTTGCGGCCGCGAGTGCACATTCCAACTCCGAGTCGGTGGATGACTCACTGCCATATCAGGTCGTCGGAGACGAAAGAATCAGCCGCCTCGCATCCACCTGGGACCACTCTTTGGGCCTCTTTCCTATCCGCCTGTTTGGTCTCACTACAAAACAGGCGGATACGGACGACCAGTTCTCAGTGCCCATCATGTTGTGGACCACACGCGCCCGACTCTTCCCCTACGAAGAAGGTGACGACAAGCGCGAATCGAACTCCAGGTACAGGATGAATGAGCTTCCTTTGCTTATCCATCATTATCCTCCGTGGCAATAGTGCCTCAGTACTTTGTGTCGATACTTCGTTGCTGTACAACCATATGAGTTGTAATAATAAGAAATAATGCCAATAATAACACTGATGATAATAATAGGGAGAAGGACGAAGCTGATTTAACGCGCGACTGGGCGACTGTATCTAGCACCACGCGGTTGGGATTCCAACCCCACTTTTGAACTCGGTTCCTTGTTAGTCTTTTCATCAAACTGTTCGGTTGCTTCTACAACTGTTGCTTCTTGCTTCTATCTTGGCATTGTGAATGAACATCTCCATATCTGCTTCATTGTGATTTCATCGCAAGTCAGATAGTTCTCCACATGCTTGGAAAATCATTAGCCGGCCGTTTCAGTCTGTCGGATCTCGTCAGTAGTGCGCATCCATCGGCATCGTCAGGATCCGAACCCATGGCCACCAGAGGCTTGAGCCATCAGCCAGCAACTTGTGCCATTTCGCCACTGGGGATAGCGGTGGACCATCTTGATTTACAACTTAACTGCTGCCTGGCGATTCAAGCCGCTAGTGATAATGAGCACCGGTCCTGATGGAGCCAATGGATAGGCACTACTGACGTGATCCAACAGGTCGAAACGGCCGCCTACTGTGTTTCCAGGCTTGTGCTGAACTGTCTGATTTGGAGTTTACTTCTTTGAAGCCCCAATTGATTGCATCAAAAATCCTCTACTCATTGATACATCAAATGTTCGCCCTATACGTTCTTAGATTCTTTGTCCTGCATAGCTACTGTCAGTGGAAGTCTTTTTCCGGGCTAACCCTGTCCTCTGCAACCTTCGTAACTTGCATAGCAGTATCGTGATCCCGTGGTTAATAATAACCGTTTCTCAGTACTACTGGATCCTCTTTACAGCCTATGAGCTGTGGCATTCGGTCCGTAGACTTAAGGATCACAAATTTGCCTTGTAATCCGAGTGCGCGGGTTCTAACCTGCGTAGGGACCGGGCGACCCTCGCAGTACCCTTAGTTCACGTGCGAGTGGCGGTGGTGGTTGCGCGACAGCGAAGCGTCGGTACTGCGTACCGGCGTACTGCTGATGCCTTCTTCTCTATGGGATCACAGCATGTTGGCTTCTCGGGACCTGCAAACAGTATAGAGATAAAAAGCGATTTTAGTTATACAATTAACTTCCTGATGGCATTGCGTCATACATTGCTCGTGAGCAACCATGAGATCCATCCCGTCGGTATGCTGTGAATTCTCCGCTTTTTCTTCCCTTTAGCTCAGGTAGCTCTTCTGATGAAGAGGACGCCAACAGTTCGTTTCGTCGACGAAGCTCCTGCCTCGATGACGGCGAAGACGAGGACCCCTTACTGCAGCTTAACGCGTCTCATTGCAGTGCGTCCAGAGAAAACCATGAGCCATTGTCTCCTAAAAAGATTGTCTCCTCTCCAGCTGGTTCTCCACTTCAGATGTCGCCTCAAAATGTTCCCAACTTGCGACCGAGATCCGCACGTTGTCAACGTCTGCGCCCCGGAAAGGAGAGTCGAGCTTCGAAACGAACCTTACAAAAGGGTCACACAACTACCGATCCTGTTTTGGTCGCTCAGCGAAAGCAGGTTTATGACGCGGCTGTCAAACAAGCTGCAGATGGTTGGTCAAGCCGACGGGAGAAATTCGGACAACTTTCTGGTAGGAAACGGCGTCCTGACTACTACAAACCGATCAAGGTTGGTCTTCAACTTAAAGTCTGCCGGGGGTTTACTCTGGCTTTATCATCTTCGAGCTTCCTCTTTTTGATTTTTTGTTCCTACCACACGACACTGGTATCCAGTTTAACCGCTCCATCGCCACTCTTTCATCGCCATTTGTGGATGTGTTTATGATTCCGTTATTCATCGGCTATGGGGGTACCCATCTGTACTCTCGCTTCGTGTTGGTTGGCTTTCCGCCTGGGATAATACGCGCACGTCCCCCTCGCGCTGTCATCTTTTCGATTTTCATCTGTGTGTGTCTACTGCGTCACAGTATGGGACGTTCGTGCGCTCCTCTGTCGACCTGATCTCCGTTCATTTTCACTATTCACCAAGTACATCCACCTCGCTCTCTCCGTTTGGTGGAGGCTCGGTTACGCTGGAATCACCGCGGTCTTCCTTTTCAACAAAAAATCGCCAACCCCATGTCTCCTATGAATTTTACCGGCGCTTATTTTCTCTGCTGTACTTTTCCTCGATCAGTATCATTATTGTTACAGCGACCCGGGTCATGGAATCTGTCTCAGCAATGCTTTGGGGCCTAAATCATAGTTGATGAGTAGCAAATAGTTCCCGACATTTATCTGCTTACCTTGTGTATGTGTGTGTGTGTGCACGCATTGGTGGAACTGTCATATGGCGATTTATGTTAATTTGTACTATAGTCCGGAGGCGCTATCAACAAATATGGCCCATTTCTAAGTTGTTACACTGCAGCTAGATTTGACCAGACAGCCACCACACATCCAGTAAAGCGCTGGACGACCGTTTCATCCTATTGCGACTCGTCAGTGCACTGATAATCACCAATCGCCTAAGCAGTTTACATGCCATCTTGACTGGTGACGGCTTGCAAAGGAAGTCGTAGCTCTGGGGGCCAGCCTTATCTTCTGTACGTTCATAACCTGTATGACATTGGAGAATGGACCGCGCTATATCGCAGTTAGATATCAGTCATGGCGGTCCGTTGCCATCGCCTATGGCTCAGTGGTATAAGTCATTGGTTCGAATCCCGCAAGATTCGGCGGATGCATGCTATTAGCGAGTCCCAATAGGACGAAACGGCCGTCTGTCGCTTTCCTGGATGCGCGGTGGCTGTCTGGCCAAGTGCAGTTGCTATGAATCTTCTCAATAAAACAATATTTCCCCACATTGCTTACTAAATCTGGCTCATTTTTCTTCGCCAATCAGAACCCAAAATATCTGTACTATCCACCATTACGCCACTAGGGAATGTTATCTGCGGTAGAAGCAAGCGGAAGTAATATGCCAACCTTTTTATGCTGTTGAGTATGTACTTGTGGTCAAACGCGTGTGAGGAATCATGTATATTTTCTTAATTTACACCTCATCTATTATACTACGTCATTTTCCTTCAGTAAGCCGAGCACTCTGCTGGAGTTTAGCTTCAATTTTCAACAACGAATTTCGCCCTTATCTTTATACCCACCTTCACTTGGTGAGATCAAAGTGACTTTTGCCTCATAGGTTAATTTACCCTTCTTTTGAGTGCTTTTTGGGTTTGCGACCACCCTCACCTCCCTGCTTCTTCCGAGTACTCTCTCTTTCACCGCCGTCTCCCAGGTGAATTGGCCACTCGGCTCGGTGCGTGTCTACCGCTTGAGCGACCCAAGTGAGGCCCCACGCTGTGAGTGCAAACCCGATCCGTCAGGTGATCCATGCGGGCCGACAAGCAGTTGCATCAATCGCGAACTGCACTATGAATGTCTGCCCAGTGTCTGCCCCAATGGAGATGCGTGTCGAAATCAGCGATTTACCAAACGCCTCTATCCAGCCCAGCGGCCATTTTGGACCGGGTCCGATCGGGGTTGGGGTCTGAAAACCCTTGTGCCTATCAACTCAGTAAGTCTACAAGTCTCTTTGTCGGATCCAAACGTGCGTCCACATCATCACGCGTCTCATCCACTGGTCGGTGTCTGTTTTAGGGCGAATTCGTCAACGAATACATTGGGGATCTCATCGATGAAGAGGAGGCGAATCGGCGCCTACGTTTCGCCCACGAGAACAATGTGACCAACTATTACATGATGAAGCTGGACTCGCAGCGAATCATTGACGCTGGTCCGAAAGGCAATTTGAGCCGGTTTATGAACCATTCTTGTGATCCCAACTTGAACACACAAAAGTGGACAGTGAATGGGGACAATCGCATTGGGCTGTTCGCCGTCAGGTTCGTGTCCGCCCCCCTCGCATCTTTTGCCTTTTCCACCTTTGTTTACCGACCCTGGTCACGGTTATCATGATCAACAGCGGTACGTCAGTCATTGGAGTTGATGCTTCGCTACCATAAGTCTGGTTGTATGTGGATTGAGATACTGCCAGAGCGCTCAGAACTAGACAAGAGAACGCTTAGGATCCTTAACCGGACCCTTTGCCTCAAAGCCTGTCCACCAAGCAACGGAGAGGTGGTAATGATTTAGTTTTACTGAAATCGACGCCATTCCATTTCAAATCCCCAACATGCAAGACTAGGAGACTGAGATCGTCTGACCTCTAACTATTCACCAGTTTGGTAGGACTGGCTCTCAAAGGGCCCTTGAGCACCAGCCAGTATAGCTCAATTGGTCGAAGAGGTACGCAAACCGTCGCACCGCGTCAAGGTCCAGTCTCGTTGTGACGAGTCACAGTTATCAACGTGTTTACCCTCTGGTCAGGCTGTCATGTCTCTTACAATCAATTTTTAATCCGCATGGAATCTGTTATCCGCCTTAATGGTCTCATTGTGAACCATCTTTATTCAGGGACTTTCCTTCTCATCTGCTACTTATCTTTTCAGCGATTTGCTAGAAATCACTTGATTTACTTTAACTAGCAACGTTTCTCTTTTGACGCAGAAGCTTCGTCAGACTGTGTCCAAGTGACCCTCCAAAAATTAACTCGATGACTGAACAGCAACACATAATCCTTTATTAAGAAATGAAAGGTTATTTTATGCTGTACACAAATGTTGTTCGCTGTTTCTCTGAAACCCACTTTCAATGGCTGATTCTTACTAGCCACCTGCCTGAATTCGTTGGCTCGCACTCATCGTTCGTTTGCAACTGGTTGGACCACTCCTGTCTTGACTGGAACAAAGTTGTACTTTGTTCACTGTGTCCCAACCCCATTCTGGTCGGTTCACTCGATCCTTGTGAATGTGGTCAGCTTGCGCCAGCACCTCTGCTTGGCCTTTCACTTGCCGGTCCTGTCTGTTTCGCTGGCTCGATCGACCAGCTCCCATCGCACCATGCACCCTCCGCTCCGGCCCAGCCACCTCCTTGTGTACGTCTGGTACGTATGATTCCTTACATAGCTAGACAGGAATGCTACTGCTGTGCGTGTTGAAGGAGTGTAGGCTGGCTCCGTTAATAAAATGTGGTCCCATCCACATGTCTCCCGGTCTTATTTTTTCGTGTTTACATATATATGGTTGGCGGCATCCGGTTTCGGATTTGCCTGGCACTGTGGCTTGCGCTGCACCATCCACAGCTCCAACCACACACCCTATATCCAGTGTAAACCCGAAGGAATAAGACCGGGAGGCATGTGGATGGGAGCCACGTTCCATCAACGGAGCCGGCCCACACTCCTTCACAGGCAAACGCAAACACGCTGTATTTGGGGAATCAAGCGCACACAAGGCGGTGGCTGGACCGTAGTCCGCTCCACACTGAGTGCACGGAACCACTCTTTGAGCCTAGCACGGCCACAAGGACCGTGCACCCCGTCCCCTCCAGCAACGACCAACTGTATGCTGGAGCCAGTATGAATGAGGTAGTGGGTAATAGACAGGTAGGCCCCTTGTCAATATACACATCAAGCGCAGCCGCACCGGGGATATCAAGCAACAGCCAATCACTTGAAACGACAAGCTGAAGTAAAATAAATCCAATAATGCATACAGATACGGTGGCATAACTCTTCGCTAAATTATCATATGAAGTAAGTTGGTTAGCAACGAATCTGTGATAAGTAAGGAATGTCCACACGTTACTTAAAAATGCCACAAACGCAACAAAATTACCGAGGATAAGCGCAATTAGCGTAAGTAACTTGGCCAGTTAATAGAACATTATTCAGGTAGGCAGAACATACCATATAAAGTGGAATGAAATTTGTTCAGCTTAAAAAGACCTAGTTTAAGTGTAAGTTGGTTTATCCCAACTGCGGTGAAGAAGCATCAAGAATGCAACATCTGCCTCAGCATGGGGCACGGGATATATATATATATATATATATATATATATATATATATATATTTCATAGAATGCAAGGAGGAAGATTTTGCATTAAAAGCGAGACGTCATCCAGTGGATACATCAACAGGTTGTTTGCAAGCCCTTCCGATTTGATGATTTTCCTATTGGTTTCGAGTATATTTTAAGATATCAACCGCACTGAAGTTTACTCTTTCACTAGAGGAATTATCGGAAACAATTGACGACAAGAATTGTCCCACACTTACACATCACCGCCATTACAGGTGGGATCAGCTAAAAGGCAGGTCACTCCTGCGATCTCTGCGACTGTCAATCTAGCTGGCGCTTTGCCAAGATTCCCTGGTTTCTAAATAGCTTCTTTGCAAAGCACTACTCTGTCCTTGTAACTGTCACTAGTGCCGTGTGTGTCAGCCTACCTCCTACTCCGATAGCCCAGCGGACGCGATTCTTGGGAACTATTTTGATTGTCTATGGTGCGGAGTTATGGACGAGGGTCTGATCCTGCTAAATCTTGAGCAACGGGATCGAGGATAGGCACTGGTAATCATACACTTTGACTTCTTTGCTGCGAGCATTATTATTGAATCCCATTGCCAACTTCGCTAACTGCTCCGCGCCTTGTGTGGAGAGTTTCGTCGTAGGCTAGTCTCGATTCCCTCCCTACCTTCAATCAAATAGCCCATGGGAACTTGGCGCATCGTTATCGGTGACTGTCTCGCAGCTCGCTGGTCCGCAGTGCCGCCCAAACTGGCAGGATGTGAGCGTATTGGTTAAGGAAAATGATTATGCTGCTGCGATCCCCCAGTGTTACTGTTAAACAGAGGACGGTGTTAGGGAAACGTCTGCAAGCTCTTACTTTTGTCGCATGGAGCTTTAATCTTAACGCATCTAATTAACAGTATTATTGGCTGTTAAAGTCGTTGCTTCTGGTGGCTTACCACGGTTTTTCCCCTGAGATTGAAATCATCTGTTACCCTTCTTTGAGTGCGTCGGACTGATGTTTTGTGTGTCTGCTCTCTTATTGGCTTACAGTTCGGTGTTCTCAGTGTCTTGGTTGGTCCTGACTACCACTCGTTTGCTATATAACGGTGTCATTTTCTGATAAAAAGTCACCTTGTCCGTGCGCGTTTTAGTGTTCTTGCCAACCTGGGTTGGAGCAAGTGAGGGGCGACACAACAGTTTGGTGATCGGCGACTGACCTGGCTGTTGCGTGTAGATGATGTGTTTCCGACCCCCGATGTTTTGGGAGAATCGCTCACATCTGTAGAGCAGTGAACGGAGTCACTGCCACAGAACTTGGTCAGTTTAACAACAGACCCTTGCTAGTGCTGCCTCACAGAGTTTTTGTTGCACTCCAATCGGCTTCCTTGACTCGGCCATATGCTTCGCGTATCTGCTGTCCGGTTGCTTTGGCGTTTATTGTTTACCAATACTTTTTTTGGTTGGGTGAAACCCCGAGGCGGTCAGTCAATGGCATGGCACCAAAGTATAAGGAAACACACCGAACAACCAAATCGGTTGCGGTGCAGACACGAGATATATTATTATTATTGTTATTGTTATTATTGCAACTGCTCCTGTCACGCAAGAACGTACGTGCATCTTGTATACGACGGGCTCGCGCCCGTGCCCCGCTGGACGAAGCCAGCTCTTCCATCCGCGCCTCAGTCGGCATCGATCAATGACGAATTTCCTTGACTACGTTGTCACTCGGACACATTTCAGGCTGCCATAAGGACACTGTAGATTGGCTTCTTCTTCAAGCGGTATGTAGTGTTGTGGGACTTCATAGTGAGATTGCTGTTAGGTTGATGCCTCCTTGGCATACATTTTTGTGACAATTCATAGTTACTGTCTCTAATATTTACACCTTCCACCTTTTCACATTTGTTTAAATAAGCCACTTTAATTTGATTGACAAGCATACATCATTCTTAATTTATGTTTTCTCAGGGTTCCCTTTCCGTCAATGCCGTTTTCTCAGGCACACGTCATTGCTTCTCATTCGCCTGTGTCGTTCAACATCTCCTAGGCTGCCTGGCTGGCTTCAATGTGTCTTAGTAGCTTGGATTCGGCCACTATTTGTTCCCTGTATACACTGAGCAGTGTTTTCATGTATGCAATTCTGTCTGTTGCAACGCGATACTGATAGAATGAGCATATTTCGAGAATCCATGTATTTGACTAAGTTGGGCTACAGCCTGTAGTTGGACAACCGTACTGCGCGTCAGCCCAGGATGCCAAATATGAACGCTGCTCTGACTATGACGGAGTGTTCAATACGGTGATCGATAGCGGTTGATCGATGATCATTGTGGTTGGGTTAGTTAGGATTGATCTAACCCCAACACTGTCCCGGCTCGTCTTTCATGTTCTCATTGTGGTCACGGGGTACGAACAGTCGGCGGCGATACAACAGTTACATACGGTTTACAACTTGCAGCGCTCGACAACGATGCGTTACGCTTGGCTGCCGGCTGTCACTCATCATAATGGCCTAATGGCCACGGCATTTAAGATTCCTCGTTTGTTGAGCTCATGTTGCCACCGCGCCCAGCTGCAGCTAGACAAAGCTTTTCTCCGCATATGTTCCAACTAATTTTTGTATAAATTCATCGCAGACAGCCACCATACCTAAAGAGGCGCTAAACGGCCATTCACCTCTTATTGGTACGCGTCAGCAGTGTGCGCCTGACGGATCCTACCGGATTCAAACCCATGACCCTGCTCTTACGAGTCAGTGACTTATGCTATTAGTCTTGGGTGACGACAGCGGACCTCATTGACTGATATCTGACTGTTATATTGCTCGGCCCATCCTGCACTGCCATACATGTTGTGAACGTGCAGAGGACAAGGCTACGTAGTTGGCGGCATCCGGTTCTGGATTTGCCTGTCACTGTGGCCTCCATAGGACATCCACAGGACGCCTGCGTCTACAGAGGGACCATGGGTGGCTTCCGCTGCAACA